TATCAACATCTTAAAGGCGGATTTGTTTAATAGTCCTTCTTAAAATAAAGTCAAGGTCAGGCTTCCTTCTAGCATCAACGTTTCCAAGCTGTTAAAATTTGCTGTTTTAATACTATTAACGTTTAAAACCACATTTTGCCTATGATTACAATATTTTTGAGGGGATCTTAAAGAAAGCAGGCGATTTAAATAACACCCCAACTATAGTAATGAATATAGTATATTACTTTAGCTGAAGAACAAATATAGATTTTTTGTTTCAAACAAAATTGTTAGAATAATTGTATATAAATGTATCTGTGTAGTGTTATCATGCATAAAGCTGTGTGCTATGTGCATGTGTTTATAGCCATCTTTTATGAAGTATACTGTGATTTGTAGATTTGCTTTCGGGGAGGTTGAGGTTGATCTACGAGCAGCACTAAACCTGCTGAACTTTGGTGAACAGCTTCAACAGCTTAAAGTTTGACTGAACCCTGAGATTTAGAGGACATGTTTACTGAGACTGCAAGTCTGAGGTTCTTATGTGTTTCCCCCCGTGTAGTCTCAGGTGGGACCACTGATTCCAATAAATAGCAAGGAGAACGCTGGGACTGCAGAGTGAGGTGGAGATTGTAAACTCCGCAGTCTCTTCCTACTCTCCTCGCGAGTAAACTAAATTAATTGTCTGTTTCTTCTTTCTTTCCCTGCATGTATGTATGATGTTTTAGGTGCTTAGACCTGACAAAAAGCAATGAGATCCCATGACTGTGGTATATTATAAAACCTTGAAAATATCGCTCGACCTCTGCCAAATAAACATGGAAACTATGGAGGATAAAAAGTGCCAAAATTTAATAAATAAATACAGCATTGAATAAATAATTAAATGTGTCAATAATTAATTAAATGTGGAATTAAATTAATAAATGTGTCATTCATTAATTAAAACCACGTCACTAATATAAAATGCCACAATAAATACAGCGATAAACAATTAATTAAATGTGTAATTCATTAAATAAATAAGGAATTAAATATATAAATGTGTCATTAACTTAATAAAATATGTCTTCATTTTATAAAAAAAAAAAATATATATATATATAATTATTTCTAGGGCTGGGCGATATAGAAAAAAGCTTATCAATAAAAAAAAAATGCATATTGATCGATATCGATAATTATTGAAAAAATTTGAAACCATATTTTATGTGCAGCTCTGCCTGGACTTTTTATAATATTGCTAAATGATTTAATTATAATAAAGAACACGAACACAGACTTCTAATTAAATCTTTATTTAATCAACTTTTTTAACCATAACAGAATTGTTTAAAAAAAAAAATAACTTAAGAGACCTGAGTTATGTTATT